AATATTAGAATGACATCGATGCAATATATTTTTTTTAATCGCCTACCACTTATTCAAGTAAAATTCATTGTATAAAAGTGAATCCTCATTTATTAGTGGCCAAGTAATTTGTCAAGAAAAAAAAAATATCAAAAGAGATTTGAATTTGACAAAATTCTCTCATTATCCCCTTCAGGATTTCATTCTTCTTGGTGGCTACCGTCTCTTAGTTTTGAGTAGACGTTTGACACCGGAGATTCTACTGAAGAAAATGAAAGAATAACGATTTTGACTCCAATCTCCTTTGGCCACCACATTATTTTGACTAATTTTGTTCCGGGTCTTCTTGTTTGGATCATCCCACAGATAACAACCATCCCAATCCCATTCATAGCAAAACACCACTAAATCACAAATCTGTAAGTGACTGTGGGTAGGTTCATCTTTTCTCCTAATTTGGGCTAGGCTTGGAAACTGTCGTACTACACAGTGAGAAAGCAAAGCCCTAACAAGCAAAGTTCCCTCATTAAGCCCAAGCTATCCTATGTTCCCTGGATGGGCTATATTAATTCCCAATCTCGAATTAAGATTAATTAGACTTTATTTAGTATCCAACTGTAATTTTTTTGATATAATAAATTTTGGTTTATGCTATTTGTAATTATTGATCACAAAAATTACTAAATACAGTAAACAATAAATTAAGGCGGCCTCTAGGGCCCCAAATAAATTTGTATTTGTATTTAGAACCCCAATTTTTTTTTTGTATCAATTAAAAAATATTTAGGTTTGAAAGGGAGGAGGTGAGTGGTGGTGGCTGTCAACAAAAGTGAACGAGGGTGATGGGAGGGTGGCCGTGGCAGATTTTAGAGAGAGAGAGGTCTCCGAGGACAAAAGAACAAGAGTGAAAGAGGACAAGTATATAACGGTTAGTTTAAATTAATCGGCATTTTAGTCGAACAATTACAGAACAATTTGTATTATTTTTAAAATTTAAGGAGGTGATGGGCAAATTGGTCAACCACCAGGGCATAAAGTGAAAGTTTCTCCGTTAAATATAGAGCTCTTTCCCTTTATCTTTCCCTCCTTGTTACTGACATTGACATAAGTGAGACTGACACAAGGAATATAGCTCACCTCCACTCGCAGCCAACAGAGATTATCAGACGGAGAAAAGCGACACCCACATCTATTAAAGGAAAATATACTGATGATGGAAGTCTATTAAAGTATATCAATCAATTAATGCCACGTAGTGTCATCATGGAAGCTATCCAGCGAGCTGCTGCTTTGTTAAGAGCCTTAGACTTGTGTATAAATCTTAAATTAAGATCTTTAGCCAAGCGCCTAATATCACTAACAAAAGCACCGATTTTCCATGGGAGAATATCTTCAGTTGAGCCTAGCTTAATCACCTCCAGATTGTCACTTGTAATAGACATATGACGTAACCTAGCTGCATTGACCAACAAACACGCTTCATGAACATCAGCTGCTTCCGAAAATCGACTAAAAACAGCCAAAATATGCTTGGCAATACCAACCTCCAACGTCCCATTAAAACCTTTAAGAATCACCCCAACTACTGCCTTGTCCTTCTTGAATGCATCATCAGTCCACAGAGAAAGGGGCTGAAACTGACTTGGATTATACATATTGAGATGAGCCGAACCAACTTGATCCACCACTTGCTTCTTCATAGCAGAACACATCATCTCAGGCCACAAACGCTGAGACCACAACAAAGTGACAAGGGAATTAGGAACTTCATGATTAAACACAAATTTATTTCTAGAATTCCAAATGGCCCAACCAATCGTAGCCACACGCCTCATAAAATAAAAAAAAATCAGAAATTTTCTTGCAACTTTCCAGGCAAACTGAAACCCACATTAAGACCAAAACACAAGCTCCTTGCTCCAATCTCAACCCCAAATCAAACCTTTTTTGTCCATTCACAGTCAAAAAGAATATGCTCGATAGATTCAATATTATCACCACAAATAAGACACCAAGGGAAATCAACACACTTTCTTTTGAATAAATTCTCACGTGAAGCCACAACATTGTTACAAACTTTCCACCAAAAGTGTTTGATCTTAGGAATGACCTTCTTATTCCATACAATTGACCAGAGTTTGGGATGAGGAGAAAATGAGGAGCAAGGAAGAGAATCAGGAGAAGATTGAAGACTAACAACAAGTGAATATCCAGACTTAACCGAATACATACCTTTAAAATGCAGTCTCCAAATACGTCTATCAACACCAGGAAACTTTGGAATTGGGATAGCACAAATAGATTTACACTCCTCCTCATTGAACATCCCTCTGATGAGCACATCATTCCATTCTCTATTGTGTTGAGAGATTAATTGATTGACCCAAAGAATATTACACTCTTGAGATCTAGGAGATCGAACTGCTCCATCTACAAATTAGGGAATCCACTTGTCCTCACAAAATTCTAATTTTATTGCTTTCCAATACTTGCCAAATAAAGTCTCTTTCAAGAATATCTCTTCCCTTAAGCCGACCATTCCAGACCCAAGAAGGCCTTAACCCCTTCTTAGCCTTCATGAAGTCACTATCAGGAAAAGTAAATAGACTTGATGAATCTTGCCCAAAAAGAATCAGAATTTTGGATTAATCTCCAACACTGTTTAGCAAGTAACGCCTGATTAAAAAGATAAAACTCTTTGAAACCCATCCCCCCTTTGCTTTAGCTTCCACAATTCTATTCCAACCTTTCCAGCTAATTCCTCTCTTGTCCCCTCCATCACCCCACCAAAACCTCCTTACATACTTATTGATCTTGCCACAAAAAAAGATTTTGGGGAAATAAGGACTGACATAGCATAATTTGGAATTGATTGGATGACAACCTTGATCAAAACTTCTTTGCCAGTTGGAGAAAGAAACAAACTCTTCCACCCTTGCAACTTCTTCAAAATTCTCTCAAGAAGATAACCAAACAATTCACTCTTTGCATTACCATACAAAAAAGGCAAACCCAAATATTTAATTCCCCTATCCAATAGCCTTAACCCCCAGCAGTTGACAAAACAAAAATTTTTGCTCATCCGTGGCATTTGCAAAAAATATAATACTTGATTTTTGGTGATTCAAACATTATCCAGAGGCAGCACAATACTTATGAAGAACACCCATGACATTAGAGATATCCGGAACCTTCACTTTAAAAAAGAAGAAAGAATCATCCGCGAAGAAAAGATGGGAAATAACAGGGCTACCTCTTCGCACTTTGACCTCCGAATTTTTTTTCTCTTCCACCCCTTTCTGTAACATAGAGGACAGGACATCATCAACCAGGATGAATAGATAAGGAGAGATGGGATCCCTTTGTCGAATAACTCTTTGTGGTAAGACCTCGCAATGTTTTCCCCCATTAATAATGATTTGAAAGCACACAAAATTGAGACATTGGATAATAAGTTGCACCCATCTGGGAGAGAACCCTAACTTAAGCATCACCGCCTCCCAAAAGTCCCATTTAATTCTGTTGTATGCTTTACTGATATCCATTTTGATTGCCAAATATGGAACCTTACCTTTCTTTTTGAGTCTCATAAAATGGAGAACCTTATTTGCAATGATGATGTTATCTTGGATTTGCTAGGAAAACCATTAGGACCAGGGCCCTAAGTCCTCCTAACTGCATGACTACCTTCTTGACCTCTGCATCCTAGATTGGCTAAAGCAGCATAGCATTCATCTCCTCTGAAATTTTCCTTTCCACTAATCCCAAAACCTCGACAAAATCTCTTTGCCCCACTGAAGAGAACAACTCATGGAAATAAAGTTTAATGTGGTCATTCAACTTCGCCTCATCCTCAATCCAAGTAGCCTCATCAGTCTTCAGCCATTAAATAAGGTTGCCCTGCCTTCGCTGGATAGCCGAAAGATGAAAAAATCTTGTCTTTTGATCCCCCAACATCAACCAATTAATTCTTGATCTTTGTTTCCAGTAAAGTTCCTCCCTTCTTCTAATGTCATCCATCTTAGAAATAATCTCCAATTCCTTTCTTAGATTAACATCCAAGGTCTCAAGCATTTGTAGCTTTAGCAATTGAGCATTTAATTAGGTCAAAGTCTTTTTCTCGTTGCCAAACTTCTGTTTGCTCCAAGCTTTAAGTTCCTTGCTGCAAAATTCTAGTTGCTTAGACATACGAAACATCACTGAGCCCTGCCTCTTTTCCTCCCAAGTCTTCTTAATGATCTCTTCACACATGTCTTCTTCCATCCAAATAGCCTCAAATTTAAAAGGACCTGTCTTCCTCGTAACGGTTGGCTCCAACATTATGATGATAGGGCAATGATCCGACCCTACCATTGCCTCATGAATAACCTGCATATAGGGATAACACAAGCTCTATACCAGATTAACCAAGACTATCCAGTCTTTCTTACACATTTGCTTCACCTGGTCTATTATTAAACCATGTAAATTTTGGTCCTTTTAAAATTCATATCAATCAGATTACATTCAAATATAAAACCTTGCAGTTTTCCATCTTTTTAGCTCTACATGTTCTCCCCCGTTCCTTCTCCAATAAAGACCCAACAACATTGAAGTCACTTGTGACTAACCACGCCCTTTAGACACAGATGCAAGACTTTTTAAATCTTGTCAAATTCTCTATCTCTAATCAAAATCGTTCTCATCGAATTGAAAGGTGCATTGCCACTCTTGTAATTGGTTCAACCTTCTATCCACAACATTAAAAATAGTACTTGTTCTTATTATCACTACGCAACTTAATATTATCATTTCACTATAAAGCCAAACTCCCATAAAGACCCCGAGGTTCAATGTACTCACTATATCGAAATCATCAAATAATTATGTCAATTCAAATACAATATAATTAATTAATAAATAAGTCGAAAATATAAGTCCCTAAAAATACACGAATTCAGTATGGGTCCCACTATCATCCGGGTGACGTGGCAGATACAATGCAAATTAGACGGGGAAGGAAGGAAAACTAGAGAGGGTCGAAACCGATCACAATTCGCACGGAAGAATCTCGTCCAGAACCAGAACGACCAATCCTCTCTCTCTCTCTCTCTCTCTGCGTTGCCCTTCCATGAAATTAAAGCTCCTTCTTTATCAAATAGTTGAATACAGATCGAAAACAAACCCTAATCTTCCCTGTCAATCACTTCTCTATCCTCTCCGACCTATCCAATCCAATGGCCTAACCAAATGGAGAATTCAATGATAAAAAATCTACCTCCACTCTCTTATCTATCACCCTCAGCCATATCTTTCCTGGACTCCAAACACCACGCTGGAGACGACCTTCAACAAGCTCCGAGTCTCCTCTTGGAGCTCCAGACTGAGTGTCATAATTTGGATCAAAGCCTCTTAGATCTCAATCAGAAACTCCAAAACAGTCTAATCGCTTACGCTTCGCATGGGGATCGAATTGGTGTCCTTTTCGGCTATATCAATGCCCAATTGATCAATCTCCAGTCCTCCACTTGCGTTTCTGGTTCTTCATCAGGTTATTAAATGCACACACACACACACACGCACACACACGCACACACACGCACATACAAATATTATATGTAGATATATCACTATGTTCAGGTACAAAACCTACGTTGGTATTTATATGTACATAGTATAAATTGTGTTTTATTTGGAATTGGGTGTACAGATGGAGGATCGGAGCATATATTGGGGGAGGAGCTACCAGCGCTGGCGAAGGAAGTGGCGAGGGTGGAGACAGTGCGAATGTATGCAGGTGAGTTGTGGTTTTCTTCTTTTTCGGACGTATATTTGACTAATTCTGAACATTTTTTTTGTTTATTGGATGGAAGTGTTGGTTAATTAATTTGATAGGTATGGAATTGCATTCTGAAAAGAAAAATAGAATGTACTAATATTGAAATATTAATGGATGTCATGTGAAATTTTTATTGGGTATTTAGCTGTTGAGGTAGCTTAAACCTTCTTTTTTGTAGATATCCGAAAAAATGAGAGAAGAGTACTAGGTGAGACTGGGAATGAACTAAGAGCGTATATGAAAACTGAAAGAGATCGTGCAGAATAAACATTTGGTAGTTTCATTTGACAATAAACATTTTGTTGTGGTAGTTTCATTTGAAAATAGTTTCTCTGGGATTGTAGTGTAGAATTTTAGCTAGTGTGTCATTATTCCTAGGAAAGATAGCAAGGGAAAATCCAATTTTTACCTTATTGGGAAAGAGGGAAACATGTGCTTCTTGCTTCATCACTGTGTTCTCTATGTGCTTGTTTTTTTTGGGGGGGGGCATGGGGAATTTCAGCAATTTCATCACATCTATCTTAGCAAACTAGCATAATCTTCCTGCTCCACCATATTTGGGCATCAGTGCTTCTGCTTAGGCTGTTAGGCATTCATCTAGCAAAGCAAATATAGGCAGGTAGTTTTTAGCACAATGGTTGGTGTTTTCCCCTCATTGTAAGCCCTGAAATCTAATGCAGTCATACATATGGGGAGAGATCTTATTGGAATTTAAATTACAAGATGGTCCTGTAATTTCCAAATATCAAGGTTGGAAAGATATGGGAAAGATAAAATGATACAATATGTAGAGTTTTCATGGGTAAGGTCTGTTTCCACGAAAATTCTAGTGCTTAATCAAAGTTTTGCTGTTGAAGCTCCAAAGAAGCTTTTGTCATCTTGGGAGTTAGGTAATTGATATAATCAGAGCCTAGTATTTTACCGCCAGTATCTTTCTCTTCTTGTTCTTTGTTGACACGGCTATCCTTTGATTTTGCCAAAGTCTTGCCATTTCTCACCTATCAATAGGGAGAAAAAAAGTCTTTATAATGTTAAGGAGGGTTCCTATATACCAAACTAAGATAGGCAATGAAGATTCCCCAAATGTGTGAGGTTCGACATTTGACAAGCTACTTATGCCAGATTTGTTATTGGGTAGCAGAAGAAGAGGGCATTGTGGATTGATTTGGGCTTTTTGTGTGTCCAGAGTGATGGCAAAAACATATGGCTTTAGGTTTTATAAAAAGTATAAGAGAAGGGCTAGGCTTTGAGGGTTTGACGTAGGGAAAGAAAGCGAAAGTACTTGAGAGCTCCATGGATGGTTCTTGTGATCTGGTTGTTTTGTTCTAGATTCTAGGGTTGAATGCTTAATGATGGATGAAATTTGACGTCAACATGCGATTGATGCTTGCTGGATTTTGGAATTGTGTGGCAGATTCTGCAGAAAATTAAAGAAATAATAACTGAAGAACTCTAAGCATCACACTTGGGGCTTGAATTGAATTATAAAATCTTAATGAAGCTTCAAACGCTCTCAAAATTTCTCTAAACTAATCTTTATAGACTAATAGCAGTGTTAAATCATGCTGATAAAAAATAAGCTAATATATTTCTTTTAATATCATAGGTCTTTGGACACCACATTAGGAAACTAAATAATCTAATCCATGAAAACCTAAATGAACTGGCTAAACCAACAAGATCCAAGGTTTCTCCTTGAAATCTTACCTTTGTTAAGATGTTATAAATTGTATAATACCAGCTAAGAACATATGGAAATTTCTTGAAACACCAATTTTTAAAATTTATGTCGGGTTTTGGAGGTTGTTTCTTAGTTTGTTGAAAATGTTGATTCCATTCTCCTTATGTGTTCCTTTTTCTCTTACATTTTTTAGATTGTTATGCTTTTGCTAGTGCATCTTTCTTGTTGAATTATTCCAATAATTGTTTATTTCGGGAGGTTACATTGGTTGCATTTGATGGTGGTGAGTTTTCTTAGTCACCTCACCCCCAAGTTTTCTTAGTCACCTCAACCCTAAGTTTTCTTCTTATCTTTTCAGAGACAGCACTAAAGCTTGACAGTTTGATTGGCGACATCGAAGATGCTGTATCTTCCACTTTGAACAGAAATCTAGGGAACCGTGCATCCACACGGACTTCAGAAGTGAGTACAATATAATGTAGATAACTTAAAACAAATGAGGTGGCAAATAACTTCCTCAAAACCAGACATCTTTATCCACTTCATTTTTTCATTTGCCTCAGGAAATGCGTTTGGTCGCTATTAAAACTCTCAAACTAACTGAAGAAATTCTAAATTCAGTTACAAAGACACGTCCTCAGTGGGCGCGCCTTGTGTCAGCTGTTGATCACAGAGTAGATCGAGCTTTAGCCATTTTGAGACCCCAGGCAATTGCGGATCATAGGGGCCTGCTTTCTTCCCTTGGATGGCCACCGCCTCTGTCCACTTTGGTTTCTTCAAATCTGGATCCAAAGAGATCAAGTGAAGCCCCTAATCCCCTTTTAACAATGCAAGGGGACCTTAAACACCTGTACTGTGAAAATTTTCTTGCTTTGTTGAGCCTACAGGAATTACAGAGGCAGAGAAAATCTCGACAACTTGTTGCTAAGGATCGGGAAATTGCCATGCACCAGCCACTTTGGGCCATCGAAGAGCTCGTGAATCCCATTTCTATTGCATCCCAACGCCATTTCTCAAAGTGGGTTGATAAGCCAGAATTTATTTTTGCTCTTGTATATAAAATTACTCGGGATTATGTTGACTCCATGGATGAGTTATTGCAACCACTGGTTGACGAAGCAATGCTGTCAGGCTACAGTTGCAAAGAAGAATGGATCTCAGCAATGGTAATGTCCCTGTCGACATACTTGGCGAAGGAGATATTTCCTATATATGTTTCTCAGCTTGATGAAGAGAGTGCCACTGGAACTCTATCACGGGCTCGAATATTGTGGCTACATCTTGTTGACTTGATGACCGCTTTTGATAAGCGAGTGCAGTCTCTTGCAAATTCTGGAATCTTGCTTTTCCTCCAGGAAGATGGGAACCTGCAGAAGATTTCTTCTCTATCAGTATTTTGTGATCGACCTGACTGGCTTGATTTGTGGGCTGAAATAGAGCTCAACGAAATATTTGACAAGTTGAAACTTGAGATTGAGGATGAGAGAATTTGGTTACTCGAAGTTCAGGGATCGGCTATTATGTCAGATCCAGAAGATTACAAATCTCCAGCAATAGCGAGCATTTTTCTTCAGCGCTTATCATCTGTGGTCGACCGTTGTCGGTCGCTGCCTAGCATTTCATTAAGGTCAAGGTTTGTCAGATTGGCTGGTGTACCTATCATACAAAAATTTATGAACTGCTTACTTCTTAGGTGCCAAGAAGCTGAGGGTCTGACGGCGTTAACGGATGATGATGCTTTAAGTAAAGTTACAAAATCAATTAATGCTGCTCGCTACTTTGAATCTGTTTTAAAGGAATTGTGTGAGGATGTCCTTTTTCTGGAGATGGGATTGAACCAGTGTGATCTATTGGGAATACAAGTTGGTGAAAGTAATGGTAGTGGAGGGTCAGTAGGAGGATCTGAAAGTTGTATTTTAGACGAGGAAATTGGGAAGCTGGAGGAATTCAGAATAGAATGGGTTGAAAAGTTATCAACTGTTGTTTTGAGGGGTTTTGATGCTCGCTGCCGAGATTATATGAAGAATAGAAAGCAATGGCAGGAAAAGGTTGAAGAAGGTTGGACAGTGACCAAATCCTTTGTTGGGGCGCTAGATTATCTGGAGGGGAAAATGTCAGTGTTGGAAGGTGGTTTGAATGGGATGGACTTTGTTGGGGTCTGGAGAAGTTTGGCAACTGGATTGGATCGATTTTTATTTAATGGTATTCTTATGGGCAATGTTAAGCTTTATGATGGGGGAGTTCAAAGACTTGGTAACGACTTGACTGTTTTATTTGGGGCATTTCAGGCATGGTGTCTGAGGCCTGAAGGCTTCTTCCCCAAAGTTAGTGAGAGCTTGAAGTTGTTGAAAATGGGGGAAAAGCAACTTAGGAATAGTTTGGAGGTGGGGGAAAGATGGTTGAAAGAGAATGGGATAAGACATCTGAGTGCTACCGAGGTGGAAAAGATTGTGAAAAATAGGGTATACATTAGTTGAAGGCTTTTGGATTAAACCTTTTGTGGTCTTTATGGTACAACAAGGCTTTTAGATTAAACCTTTTGACATCTTTATAAAGGTACACAAACGTAGACAAACTAGAAAGGTCATATCAGATTTGTTGCAGGTTGAGGATTCTTGTGTTCTGTATTCTACAGAGCACAAATTGACCCATTTGTTTTCCAGAAAGATACAATAATACTCCGGTAATCTTCAAAACATTCTTACAACTTGCGTCATCAACATTCTTGTTCTATGATTTTTTAAAGGTGTCTGCTGCTTAAACCACCGTTACACTTGATGGAGCACTTGCTGGTGGTGGAGAAGGTTTTCGTGGAAGTTATCTAAAATCAGCTATGCTTTCAGGTTTGAATATTCTCTGGACTTGCTTGTCAGTATGGCATGTTGTCACACCTGTACAATTGACTAATCAATTGAACCAAAATAAACAGGGAAATAATTGATGAGGAATTTTGTTTTGACAGAGTTTAGATGAAATAATTACTTCCTTTTCAGAGCATTAGTGATCAATTTGCATGTTTTTCTCTTGATCTGTTCTTTTCAGGTATTAACAAATCATTTGTTGGGTGTATATACAGTTTTTGTGTAGACATGAAATACATCTGCTTTGCTTCGCACCCCATTTTTCTGTATCTGCTAATTTCTGGATACCAACCTATAATGTACATATCTGTAAGGGTTTAGGTCATTTTCCTCCTAATTCTATCTTGCATGATTTATTTGCATGCCTTGAAGCTACTTAACTTGATTGGAGCCGTTCCTTTTCCTATTGAAACATTTCTTTGTTGGGGGTTCATGCACAGATTCAGTTGAAGAGTGTAGGTTAAAGATCCCACAAAGACTCATGACGGGCATGATGATATTAGCAGAATTGAAGATTGATAGAGATTGCACACAATTGAAGAGCACATTAGGTCCCCTCTCCACCCTTGCACTGCTTACTGACATTGTTATGAAAACAGAGACGTGCCAATCATATTCCAAATATTAGGTCTGTTTGATAACATGTGCATTAAAAGCATGTGGATCTAGGCCCATCGATGGGTCATGATCAAAGTCCGTTTTGAATTCCACTTGTATAAGTGTGTCTGGTAGTTTGTGTTGGGTTTCGAATATTCAAACCTGAATTCGATTAGTCTAATTTGGTTATTGTTAGTGTAGATTTGATAACCGAATTTCTAGGATGGATCCTATGGGTTCTTCACTCATGTTCCAAGTTATGACTCATTGGTTGTCTTGTGTATAGTGTGTAGAATCAATCATGCCCTGACAAAGCGGTAATGTTGTTCCATTGGTACTTTAGAGTCATGTATTCTAACCAGGAAAAGAGTCTTTTCGCAAGGACAATAATGTTTGTGGTCATTCAAAACTTTCCAAGATTGAGAATCGTTTACATTAGGGGACTTTATTGAGGTTGATTTGTTTTGATTAAGGTTTGGTTTGTTTGTTGTATTATAAGTTTTAACATGAAACATGTTTTTTTTTTTAGATTTAAATCTAATTTAATTTAAGTTTTTGGATATTTTGAACTTATGTGTTAAATCATGACCCATGATAGAGCAGAATGGAGAAAGACGATTCATGTAGTAAACTCCAAAAATATTTGGGCAAAGCTTTGTTGAGTTTAGTATATGTTAAATTAGTAACTCCTCTAATAGTTTAACTTATTAGAGAGGATGTGACATTAATATTTATTTAATATTTCAGCTAGAAAATTGAATTTTTAACTTATAAAAGTACAATAATGGTTAAGATTAATTTAATATTCATTTATTTTGATCCAATACAATAAAATTTATTCTAATTTTTTTCCCATCTAAAAACATTAATTTTTCTGCACATCCTCTAATGTTAGACAATTTAATCAATACATTTTTCAATAATAAACAATTTCATCAATTTACACATATCTTTCTTTATTTTAGTTTTAAATTGTATAATTAAAAAAATTAAATTATTATTTAAAATATAAATATTGTAAGATCAATTCGATTTTTTATATTGTATAATGTCTTTGAACACATATATACTTTAAATTATTCTCTTTATTAGTGTTATTATAACTGAATCGGACTGGCCGATCAGACTGGTTCAACTGGGAACTGGGATCTTAACCGGTCCGATTCTCTAGTTGAACCGTATAAGGAAGAGAATCAATTAAAAATTGAAAAAATTGGCCGATTTTTAAAAGTCGGATGGTCTGCTCAATGACCTTGTATTGGCTCCGTCGAGCCTCAGTCTTTGCGCTGGGTCTCAGTGCATATTTGCTCAACGGAATAAGAACCCTAACTCGCTATATGAACAATCCAAGGGATAAACCCAGCAACCAGCAACAAGAAAGTAAAGAGAAAGAAATCAAGGGATTAAATCCATCACCCACCTCTGAAGTTGATTGTTGATACACATTTACATATATATATAATATATTATATATATATATATATATATATATATATTATATATAGAGAGAGAGAGAGAGAGAGAGAGAGAGATTGCTGGGCGATATTATAGCGGTTAATTAAATCAATGCTAAATACAGAGAATATGAGGCTGATGTTAAGATTATAACAGAAATACAACTGTGAATTAGTATATATGCATTTTATTTTTTTTTATTATATGATCGGTCCGATCAGTTGATCTATCGGTTGAACTATGTGAACAATTGACCCAGTCTCCTAGTCGGTTTGATGAACCGGTCTGGTTCTGATAACATTACTCCATATACAGCTCAGATATCAACAATGTAAGATCCATTAAAACTAGGATTTGAACTCGGACAACCTTTGTGTATGTTAGATTCGTATTTGAATCTTACAGCTTAGTTTACTTAAGAGGGTGTGTTTTTTTTTTGTTTTTTAATTTAAAACGTTAGACATTGTATTAAAAAGATAAATCTGAAGTAAAATTTTGGTGTCAATTCTTTCTAAATATCAACATTTTCACCGCAAACTAGTCTCTAGCCCACTAGTGAGCTATACATTTTGATAGTCTAACGGTGGACAGAGAAAAGAAAAAAAAAATAAGAAAAAAATGCGCTAAAAATTTGCCAACAATCGTGCTTAAATGAGAGAAAATTCTCAAAATTATCGTCAATCATATTCATGATCACTTTTGAGCACAATCTCATCGCACCTAATCTGCCTAATAAAAATCACAACTTCCTGATCGCAATAAGCTCTGCAGTTTACACCTCACC